CTTTGCTAAACCTATCAAGTGATTCCATATGAATTATGATTAATTTGGAAGACGGAAAGGTCGGAAGAATTGTTGGTCTAACAATTGTTTGTTGGTGACAGGTTCGATTCCTCGCACGATGCAAACATTCGTATATACACAATTATATTATTGTATGTATGTCAAATAATATTTTTAGTATATGTGGGAAAGAGAAAGAATTATTATGTCATCTCTAGCGCACGCTGTTGGCGTCATGTGGGATTACGAGGTATGAGCGAGAACAGTGATATGGGTCTGAGATCCAATAATTAGGAAAACAAATAGTAATATGTATTATTGCTAAAATTGATGTTATATGTATAAATAATGACGAAAAATTACCACGTAGCTGTGTTTGTTAACTATAATGCACTGCTTGCTAATTTCCCTGTTTGCCTTATGGTAGACTGGTAGAGAATGCCCTTTGGTTTGCTTAAAGTTAAAATAAATAAAGAAATAGTAAACGGAACTCTGTATGGGATTGGTACGATTTTTTTTATAAATACAAGTACAATATAATTGACACCTTAGCTTGAAACATCGTTAGCTTTGTACACGTAATCATTATATTAATACGTGAAACAATAACTTTATACCCCTTTTTTTTGGAGTATGAAATTTGCACACTTATGGATTGTATATAGAAGGAGTTCAGAATGTAATAATATTGTTTTAAATTACATTAAATTAATAAAAAAACAATATATGCACTACCTATGTAATTGATACACACATACACACGCACAGAAATATAAACTTTGACAAAATAGTTCCTAATAATTTAAATGAATTATAGTCATATTTGCACTATTGGGCAACCACTAGTACTATACAAATAAACTATTACTGTGAGCAATTTTAGTATCACCACGCATTACCTTACTCAGGAGGTAGGGCCACCTGCCAATTAATTTTGCTGAGGTCTATTCTAAAGGTCAAGACATGATTATTTAGCGAGGTAAATTAATTTATTTTATGCCTCAAATTTACTTGGGCGTTTGACCGTGTCGTGTCTAATTTTGTAAAACGATTTATTTTGTCTGGAAAATATTTTCTTTTGTTCGGGGAAAGGAATATAAAACGATGCCTGATGTTTAAGGCGGGGTATACATACTATATATAGCCTGGTATAAATATACAATTTATTAAAATTGAAGTGTCTGTTTGTAATTTTAAGATTAACAGATTTTCACAAAATTATTTGAAAGTATATATATAAATATATATACTTTACTTATACTTATATATATATAAGTATATATATAAATATATATACTTTACCTACATTAAATAAATAAAATGTCTTGCTAATATCTGAAACGGAATAGACCGATTTTTATGGGGCTTTCATTGTTAGAAAGCTAATGTTATAAGAATAAACATAGGTTATTTTTATTAAAAATAAATTGAAGTCTACGCGGACAAAGTCGCGGGAAACAGCTAGTTTTTAAATATATTTCGAGAAGACTTTATCGGATCTTGTGAAAAAGTTATGGCATATACGGTAGGTCCAATAGAAGCACTGTATATAATTTAATTATTATATAATTAAATACAACAAGTTATTTATATTATTACTTATTGTATATTTATATTTGACCCAAAAAAAATTGTGCTGGTTGGTAGTTTGTATTCACACGTTTCGACTTGTAAATGAAAACTTACATTATTATATAAAATTATATTATATAAAATTACAGGATTATGTAAAAGAGCAACACACAAGTTTTTTGCACGTTCTTCTTGCGATGAGACAGCTTTCCGAACGAGCGGTAGATAAAAAAAAATGTTAAGACTATTCAAAAGTGCTTAAATTAAGTTTATTTGAATAAATTATTTTCTATTCTATTTTAGCTACAAACACGTTCAGAGTTATAGTTGAATACACACTGACTAGTGTCAAAGTTTGTCAATTTCCACCTAATATCAGTTGCAAATTGCGTTGCCCAGAAACTGATCGTTCACAAAGCTCTGACGATTGTGACCAATGAAGCGGGGTGCATTTACATGCGAGTGAGCATTCATTTGAATCGACGGCCGATAGCTGATAACCGTTGCTAAACTTTTAGTCATGAAAATTAGTACGTACTCAATCAATTGGATTTGGACTTAAATGGTACTATTTATAAACACAAGGCCCACAAGCCTACGAATGATACAGAATATATTGTCATTTGACAGCCTGTGTCTAATATATTCGTCATTTGACAGGCTCGTAATTGGTTTGTTGTACACTTGTAATCATGTTTGTAATTATCTAGTTTTTAAATGATTTTTTATATAACAATTGTGCAAACAAAAATTAATGTAATAATGATATATTATCAAAAGTGTAATTGGTTTGTTGAATGGCTACAATTCTTTGTCTAATCTTCGTTAATCCGAATAACCTTTTTGTTATTTCTGGTTGTTTTCTATGTAAATATGCAATTTACATATAGTGTGTTAGTTAACAGAACTATAAAAACATTGTTTTATGTTGTATATAATAAGAATAAACATCTTCCATCATGGTATTGATAATATATGTTTTTAGTTCGCGCTATATTGAATCGTTTCGCTGGTTGTAAATTGAGATTTTCCTTTGTTTAATATAAATTATAATTAAAAAAAATAATTAAAAAAAAATTACATTTAATAAGAAAATTGTGTTCATGTAATAATCATTATACTGTGTGTGCAAAGAATTTGAACTTTGTTTCTTTGTTACGAAAATTGCCCGGACTAAGCAATAAGAAAATTCACACATTTAGAAGAAGTGCAGACAATTTTTTTTTTAAATATGCATAAAAAATACATATTACCATGTATTTGACACACGCACAATAGAAACTCAATAATGTTCATCACATAAAATGAATTATGATCGAATTTCAATCAATTTCAACCACCATTTATTAGCAATGGTAATGAAATTAATTTATATATTATGCACTGAAATAAAAATAGAAATAATCTTTATACAAATAAACTTAATATAAGCACTTTTGAATAGTCAAGTTTTTTTATTCTACCGCTTATTCGGAATGCAGATTCATCACAAGAAGAACAAACAAGGAACTTGTGTGTTGCTCTTTTAAATAAATATTGATTTACTTATATTTAAACAAGGATTAGGCATACGATAATCAATATAGAAACCGCTACGCACTTAATCTCTGTTCAATCCGATAACATTGTCAGCGCTATGAATTTTAAGTTAGATATTGTCTACAAAAACATTATTATCATGTATACATTTTTCAATTTTATAATAAGGTTTTTTACAAAGAAAATATTTTATGACATATTTGAATTTTTTTTTTGGCAAATTGAGTACAGACTCTGGGAGAACTGATCAACTGATAAATAAATAGTAATAAATAAAATGAAAATGAAATAAAGATAAATGTTTTACTAATAAATAGTATACTAATAAATAAAATGAAAATGAAATGAAGATTTATTGTGTGTTGTTGATTGATTGATGAGTGATGTTGATTGATTGATGAGTGATGTTATTGTTTTTTATTCATCTCTAATTCATTATCCATAATTTTCATACGTTTCCGAACGATAATATTAATTAACTTACTATTGTATTTCAGATACTGAATAGTTGTCAATGATATTAGTGCTGATTGTAATATTGTCCTATTCGTAATATTAGACCTTATAGATATGTATAATATTACCTATATATGTATAAACGAGAACGCATGTCTGTTTCTTCACGTTTTCATGATTAAACGGCTTGTAATTAATTTTATAGATATATAGTCTTATCTATACACCTATACATACAAATAAAATTGGAGCGTCTGTTGGTAATATTGAAATAACCGTTTTTTACTACATGCATATGAATATAAATACGCTACATACACCAAAATAACATTTTTTATAATTTTTGTCTGTCTGTCTGTCGGTCTGTTCCGGCTAATCTCTGAAATGGCTGGACCGATTTTGACGAGACTTTTTAGCAGGCAGGTAACTGATGTAATAAGAAGTAACTTACGCTACTTTTATTTTAGAAAAATAAAGTTAAATTCCAAGCGGACGAAGACGCGAGTAAAGCTAGTCTTAAATAATAATATGAAAAGAGGTGAAACAGGGACGAAGTGTGAGTTTGAGCAGATGAAGTCACGGGTAACGGCAAAAAAAAACATTATTCTAATAATGTGAACGGGTAACAACTCCATCTTGAGTTCTGAGAATAAATTTTAATTTGTCTTCATTTCAAATAAATCAAAATGTATTATTCTAGCAAAAAGTCGAAGATATAGAATATATAGAAGAAGATATAGAATATATGATCCACTCGATCATAAAATAAACTATTATTTCAGCGGGCGGGTATAAGAATCGTTTGCTTCGAGTAATAAATAGAAGAGTACAATTTTGCACCTAACTTACGAGTGGGATGGGAGGCACATCTCCCCTCCTCATCTTGGTTTGATTTGATCAATTGCTATAGTGCGGCGCTATAAAAAGTCAATAGGCTATGAAATGGTTTCTCATAAACCATAGGATGTGATTTTAATTTCCTTCACTTTTGATAACATTACGTAAGTAAATTGTATTTTTTTCATATATTTTTTTAAATATTAAACTATTCACGTAGCTTCCAACGTCAAATCATTTGACTGAAAACTCCAACTGTACATTCAGTGGACTAACAATATCGAAATAAATGAAGTAAGAAATTTAGTTCATATTTATGTTATAGAATTAGGTAGTTTCCGCACTGAATATGTGTGGTTTAATACAAGCTAATTGTAGCGGAATGAAACAAAATAATATAAATCTATTAAGTAATGAAGTTCAGCTGAGTTTTTTGCCAGTAAAACGATTAATGTTAATTGAGTATGCGCTGCGTTCTTGATGATGAACTGATTTTTGGTGAAATATGAAATGTAAAATGTAATGTTAATGTTGCAAAATAATGTACAATGCCAGCTCGTTAATTGTAGTAAGTATTTAGAATTAGCATAACTTACCATCGAAAAAGCTTGCTCGTGGTGTTTGCAATGTTGCAGTTGCAGGAATATGAGAGGAAAAGAGGTCATCAATAGGATATCCTAATGACTCGTTCAAGAATCTTGTCACTATATCTTGATTTGACGTATTTTCTATATTACTTCCAATTAAATAATCTTCTACTATACTTTCATTGAATCTTATTAAATCTACAGATTGATCATTATCATGCACTTCAGATTTAGATTTAACATTTTTGTGTACAGTAGTGAAAAAGTCATGAAATATTTTAGTTCTAGTTGCATCGTCCACTCTTAGTTTTTCCATTGAGTTGCCATCTATTTTTCTTGGTTTTGTTTCTATTTCTCTATACGTTCTGTTAGCTTCTATATCTACAGTATTATTTAATAATTGAAATTCTAAAACTTCATTATCATTTTTTAAAGTTGTGTTATTAATTACACCTTTCCTATTAACTTTTGTTGACGTTTCCAAATTATTGCTTTCATTATGAGGTGTTAAATTTGTATTTGTTACTTTTTTTCTTCTGAACCTATCTAATAGTGTTTGATATTTTTCACTAAATACTATTGTTGTATTATCATCAATATTACTTGATGCATTGGCGTAATTAAAGTTGAAATGTTTTAATGAATTATTATATATAGTGTTTAATTGATTTTGAAACGTTAAATTGTTTGCGTGCATTTGTGTGTTAATTAATGGAAACAGGATTAAGATAAAGGAAAGCGAGAAGGTGAAGGGAATTTTAAAGGATCTTCCGTAGAGGGGTGAACAGTGGAAGTTAAGGGACGAAGTGGATTGCGACGGCCCTCTCATACCAGGCCGGCACTTTAACGCCGACTATTCTGAAAGTAAGAAAACAATAACTGAATAATGTATTTTACTTACGTGTAAATTATGTTTATTATTAAGTAAATTTTTTTTTAAACTGTATAAATTTTCGTTATAATTTATTTCTTCCAAAAATATAACATATCTTGATCGGGGAATCCATGATGCATTGTCGTTCTGAAGGACTAAGGCATCATGGCTTAGTACGCTGTAATTTCAGTCATATCTTATCTTTCCACTGAAATACATCTTACAAAGAAATGGTGGCTATAATAGGCGAGAGAGACTAGAGAGGTATTTGTGTAAAGTCTATCTTATTAAAGTTCTTAATTTGAAAACTAGTAACCAAAGATTATTAAAAAAAAACATACAGATATTGTTTTGAAAAAGGTTGCACTTGGCATTAACTATAATTTAGTATTTTTCTCCGTAGGCTTTATTCTTTTATAGTTAGTGTGAGACTCTGTGAATCGAGTTATTTTGGTCACTCACAACCTCAAAAATAATATTTAATTTTAAATGAAGCTACTGCTACTCAGTGCATGCGGTTGCTGATGTCATATGCAATGTCAGAAACAAAACGTTTACATAGTGTCCATTTGCATTGCGGTCACTGTAAGCACGGGATTTAATTCATAATTTGGCTGAATAATAAATGCTGGCTATTTTAGAAATTATTAGTATGTACTCTTGTATTTTAAACTACGTCAAATGGAATTATTTATATGGATACGAGTCGAGTTGGTACATGTTTTTTAAGTATTATAAATTATAAACTGTATTTTTTTCTTGTGGATGATAATGGATTGGTGCACCCACCTGCGCTAACATCCATCCATCGGATGGCTTGTTACTCTCTCACGCAAAAACCACTCAATGGATTTATAGAAATATAGCTTTTACCTCTGAATAATACATAGACTACAATTTTCATACGGGTAAAACTACGTGCACAGCTAAAGTTATAATATTAGGACCAAATTATAACGGATCTTTAGGTGCAACTGTGTTCGTTCGTCTATCACATACTTCAGAAGCTACTAACTTTATCCGTTTGAAATTTGCAAATTTGTTGCAAAGCCGCGAGAAATACTTGAGTTTCGCAGCTCGAAGTGCGTTCCAATTTGCAATTACACGGCAATAAAGTATAAAATGTGTGTTTATATAAAATCTTACTAATATACATGGAAGTTTGTTGGTGTTGATGGATGGATATAGTTGTTACTTTTTCACGCAAAAACTACTAAATGAAACTTTACAATGATAAAGCCTATGTATCAGAATAATACATAAGCCATAAATTGTGCGCGTATGAGACCGTGGGCACAGTTAGTATAATATAAAATGTTTATATTTAACTGGACAATTATAAAGTGGGGTGACGCTTCAAGTGAGGCTTGTGACTGTGGAGCGCCATCCCAGACTATGGCACACCTGCTGGCTTGTCCTTTGTGCCCAGCAGTCTGCACAAAGGGGGACCTAAGGGATGCGACGGAGTGCGCAAGGGTTGTCGCGGCGTTCTGGGGAAAATATATTTAAATATATGTATTTGGTTGCCGTTGAAACGAAGAAGAAGAAGACTGGACAATTCAATCTGCGCCATCCAGTTCCATGCGTAACCGAGTTTGTGTTATGGGTACTTTACAAATTACACTGATTTACACTTACATACATTAATACGTATAATTAGTAAATCACGGGATCTTACGTTTTATTTTTATTGCGTTCCCGATATTTATTTATAGTAGCAACATACGAAGACGTGTGAAGGTAGACGAATATGTCTGCCCATAAAAGATTTATTTACCATGTACCCGCTGCTCTTCAGTTTACCCATGATCATGGCTGTAGAAACACTACCGAAATATCGGGAACTCGATAAAAATAAAACGTGGTAAGATTCCATGATTTACTAATTATACGTATAAATAATGACCGCGTCAAACTTAAAACTATACATTACATACATTTTTGCGTAAACACATACAATATAGACATGAAAAACACTCAGACCAATACAATTAATCATACCGACTGAGTCAAAGAATCGAACTCGCGACCATGTATATATATCAGTCGTTTTACCCCCATAACATAAGCTCTGCTTAATTTGGGACTAGATGGCGCTGTGCGAGTTATGAGACATATTATAATATTTTACTACACGATTCTTGTCAAAATCCAACAAAATACTAACACCACGGTAAATTAGGGTGGCTAGCCCAGTGGAATCGACCGGGGAACCTAATTTAGCGAATAGATGTTTCCACTTCGCAAGCCATTATCTCGGTATCCCCTAATATTATTGCAATCTCGTCCCACAATTTGACCTCGGTAACTTCTAGAATCCTGAAAGCATTATTAATTCATGTAACGTTAGAATATTATTCGGATTGTCTCGCATGGAACCCGGTTTATTCCAATCCCATGGATTATCCCATGATGAAATCATTATATGGGTTACTTGTATATACATATTATTTATTCATCCTATTTGAGAACCCCAGTGATCTAGCGTTTTAACACACCGTTTTATTTCCAATAATCACGAGTTCAATTCCTCGATGTAGGTATTTTATATCCGTTATATTTAATACTATAGTAACTGTACCCGCGACTATGTCCGCGTGGATAAGTGAATAGTGACCTTGATCAAATAAAGAAAAAAAAATAATCTAAATCAAAAAAGCCAAAGAAATAAGTTTCATCGTTCTAGCTACAAAAATTAAGAATATTCATAAAAAAATCATCAATTATTTTACCCCGTTAGAGGTAATATTTTTAGAAACTTTGAATGTTATATTTATTTATATTTAGTCAGCAGCTTAAAAAATAACTTTATAGCTTCTAGTTTTAAAAATGACGATAGTTCCATATAAAAGTTTCATCTCCACTTTTAACACCTTAGAACTCTTTTTCGCATTAAAAAGTAGCCTATGTCCTTTCTCAGGGTCCAGACATCTCTGAACCCATTTAAATGAAATTTGGTACACAGATAGCACCAAATTTAATTTAAATGGGTTCAGTAGTTTTGGCGTGAAAGCGAGAGAGATAGACAGAGTTACTTTCGCATTTTTAATATTAGTAAGGATTTTTACTATTTTGTTCTTTCTGTTCTGCAAGAAGAACAGTGGCAATTGAGAGAGAGAAAGCCGACTCCCACTTTTATCAGCAGCTAGAATTATCTTCTGGCAACGATGTTTATAGAATAGCTAAACGTAGATATAATGATAGCAAAGACTTCATAACCACAAAATTTATTAAAAATAAAGAAGGCACTTTATTAACGAACGACAAGGATATTTGTGAAAGATGGTATGAGTACTATCAAAACTTATTAAACGAGGAATTTCCTAGGGAACACGTGCTAGAACTTCCGGCAACCAAAGGACCGATTAATGAGATTACTCCGGCACAAGTAAAAAGAGCAATCTCTAAAATGAAAAACCACAAAGCAACGGGTTCAGATGATATACCCGTCGAGCTTTGGAAATCTCTAAAGGCCGATGGAGAAGATTGGCTTTCGAAGCTTTTTAACAGGATCTTGGTCACTGAGGAGATGCCTGATGCTTGGAGAAGAAGTATGTTGGTCCCGTTCTATAAAAACAAGGGAGATGTTAGAGAGTGCGGGAACTTCCGTGGTATTAAACTCACATCACACACCCTGAAGATCTGGGAGCGAGTTATAAGCGAGTGCCTTCGAAGTTCAGTAAATTTATCTGAAAACCAATTTGGGTTTACTACTGGGAAGGGAACTACTGAACCAATACACGCTATAAGGCTATTAATTGAAAAAGCTCGTGAAAACAAACAAGCCATGTGGATGACTTTCATAGATCTCGAAAAAGCTTTTGACCGCGTACCGAGAACTTTAATATGGCAGGCCTTAAGGTCTCAGAACATTCCTGAACAGTATATAAAGCTCATTACGGATATGTATTGTAATGTACAAACCAGTGTCAGAAGTCCAGCGGGTGTATCTAAGAGTTTTAATGTTGAAGTGGGGGTGCATCAGGGCAGTGCTCTTAGCCCCTTACTATTTAATATGGTAATGAACTACCTCACAGAGAACATTCTGAAACCAGTACCGTATAACCTCTTATATGCAGATGATGTGGTTTTGATATCGGAAACCAAACTGGAAACACAGGGCAGTTTAGATATGTGGAGGAAAGCTCTAGAGTCTGGTGGATTGCGCATTAGTAGAACTAAGACGGAGTACATGGTGTTGAACTTCGGCCCCGACAAATCTGGTACAATAAACACTGAACTGAAGCTGGACGGAGAAATCCTACCAAGAGTAAGCAAGTTCAAATACCTGGGTTCTGTTATTGCTGAGGATGGCACTATTACAGCCGACATTACTCATAGAACCACGTCTGGGTGGAGTAAATGGCGCGAACTCACGGGGGTGTTGTGCGACCCAAAAATGCCAATAAAAACAAAAGGCAAGGTTTATAAAACAGCAGTTAGACCAGTTCTACTATACGGTAGTGAAACGTGGGCTACTAAGCAAGTACATGAGCAAAAGCTACACACTACTGAAATGCGTATGCTTCGTTGGGCGGGTTGAGTTACGCTTACAGATAAAGTCCGAAACGAGCATGTAAGGGGCAGCTTCGGAGTGGTACCTATTACTGAAAAACTTAAAGAATGTAGACTTAGGTGGTATGGACATATTCTGCGTAAACCTGAAAACCACATGGTGAGAAAGTGCCTTTCCATGGCTACAACAAAAAGAGGACGAGGCAGGCCACCAACTACCTGGTTGACAAATGTCCATAGGGACATGAAGGAGTTGGGCCTATCAAATGACGATGCTTACCAGCGAAATGTATGGCGCCCCAGGATTAGAAAAGCCGACCCCGAGTAACGGGAAGAGGCGAGGATGAAGAAGAAGAAGAAGAAGAGTTCTTTCACTTTTTTTTTCATCAAACCTTCAATCACCGAGCAGTAAAGCAGTGTTCTAAACCGCTAAACCTCTA